GGGGGGGGGAAGAAGAGGGATTTATATACTCCAAGGAAAGTAAACAACTAAACCTTAGCAAACAACATTGTAAAACTATATTGTAGGGCATATACAGGGTTAGCTCAGCAAACTACTGCAGAACGAGTAAGAATCACTTACTATGCGGAAAAGTAACTTCCTACGCGTACTCTAGGTAGTATATAATTTAACTTATTATATCTATTTACTATAGTTATAGCGTATGAAATTAATAATCTTAGAAAGCAATATTAGGCTACACTCTAACCTACCAGAATCGGGTATTTAAAAAAGAACCTTACAGTTAAAGTAAAAGGATTTACAGTAGCCCACGAGCTATACAGAGATCTTAAAACCGAAGCTCTAAGATTCATGTTAACAAGACCCTATCCTTAAACCCTAAAAAGTCGTTGAATAATACTACTATGATTTGTTTACCCCTTGACGGTTATATATCTATTAGGCACACCTCTATTAGATACGATAACTAGATGAAATATAGTGAGGATGAAGAAGCAGAACAGCAAACTTGTATATATACAAAGACAAATAGGAAAAGACAGAAGAGTGAAAGTAGAAGTAAATGCTTTTATAGCAGCTATAGAAGACCTGTGAGAAACCACAGAAGTACATAAGTTAGTAAGCATTAAAGACACGCAGCACAGGGCGAGCGTGCAGGATCAAAAGCTATCTGAAAGGAAGTAGAGTGATCCAGATCCGGAAAAAGTAAGGCAAAGGAAGAGTTCCAAATGAAGAGAAAGGAAAAAAACTAGAAAAGATCAGGGATCCAATCGGAGAGGCATACTGGCAAGCAAGAAGGACGGGAGGAAAAAGACAAAGGGGGGCATCCATGAAACTTTCCGGGATACCCCCAGGGGACTCGAGTGCAATCACGGCGACAGGATTGCTACCACTATGCCTTGGACATCCCTTTACCCTTTCCCTTCTTGGTTTTGGGACCCTTGGGCGCCTTGTAGCCGGCGAAATCAGGAGCGCGCGTCTTCTTGACCTCGGAGGTAAGCTTCCCTTTTTCCTGTGCGGTCAAATGGACGACATCATTGTACTGCGGGATCCAGGTGGGATGCTTGGTCATGGCTTCCTTGATTGCCTCCATGGAAGGATACTCACCCAAGTCCGGCGTAGCAGAAGAGCCGTCATCGTCAGAACCTTCCTCGTGATGGGAATCAGAGACAGTATCCATCTTATCGTCGACCTGTTCTTCAGCACCACCGGTGGGGCGGTCCTTACGCCTTGCCCTCTTGCCGCGGACATCACCTTGGGGCAGAAGGTCGACAAGACGGCGGCTGGCTTCTTCATCATACTCCTGGACGGTTTTGGGGCGCAGCGACGGCGAATCTGGCTCCTGCAGTGTGTCTTGAGGGAGACGGTACGAGTCGAACCCTTCGTCGCCGGGGAGAGTGATCTGGCGACTAACGGGGCCACCATCAGTCAAACGAGACATATTGTCCGCCTTAGGCTTCTTAGGAGTCTTTGGATGGAGGAACTTGTCGTCAGGATCCACGCCGCCGTTCTCTTCCATGCGGGCCTCTCGGCGGGCTTCGATTTCCTCTTCCGTAAGCTGGAGTACGGCGTCGGTGCACTCCTCGGGGAATCCAGCCAAACGGGTCAGACGAGTGGTGCTAGTGCGAGCTGCGATACCCGCCAGTGCCTGGGTCCAGTGTAGGGTTTCGGGCCACCAGTCGTTGTGTCCGATCTGCTTGCGGTGTTCTTTAATGTAGTTCAGCCCTTCCTCAGAGAAGATGAAGTAGTAGAGGAAATCAGCGTCCGTGAGTTCAGCGTCCTCAGGAAAGTCCTTGGCCGGAACGCGGAAATAACCCGATAGGAAATTCGAAGTGACCATGTCCACAATCTCAGTAGGGGCGTCAGAGGGGATGAGGGAAGAGGACTCTTCGGGATTGTAGTCGATGAAAGAAGTGGCGGAGGCCAAGGAAGCAAGGAGATTGTCCCTATCAAGGTCAGCGAAACAAAGAACGAAGAGGATAAGGAAAGAAAAGAACAAAGGAGGAAGGGGCGGGGGGGGCACAAAGGAAACTTTCCACAGCACCCCCCCTCATTACCCCTCGGTCCTGAAGAAGGAAAGATAGGGAAAGTGGCAAGGGCGAAGGGATAGGCAGCCAAGCCCGGCCTTGCAAAACTCACGATAGCAGGTTGACTGAATGGGAGCCACGGACGATCAAGCGGAAAAAGTGGACTTCGAGCATTTGGCCGCCGCGATATTGCCGACCAGCGATTTGGAGTTCGCGGTTGAGCGTGTCGGGAGTATCGACCATGACACCAACACGAGAGTCCTTCTGCAGATTGTGGCCAGTACCGAAAACCAAGGCAGAGGCGAACAATGCGCGCTTCTTAGTCTTGGGTCGATTCCACGCGTCGGCAACCTGAGCGCGCTCCGTGGCGTTGTTATAGGAATACACGCTAAAGACACTGTGTCCAAGTAGTTCCATGACCGTTTGGGCGATCTCTTGGACAATTGGGGTCATGAACCAAAATATGACTTTCTCGTCGCGCAGCAGAGCCCAGTCCATGTACAGGCCAAGGATAGCTTGCATCTTGGGACTGCGCTTGATGACTGTCCATGCCAGCGTGGGGTTGTCCATAGCCTCGATCTCCTCGGGCATGGGCAGGTCGGGGCAGTTCATGTGCGCCGCTGTGGAGAGTAGCCAGCGAATGCGCTCTCCTTTTCCGCCTGGCTTCATGCGGGGGAGTTGGTCGTATGTCTGGTACAGCTTGCTTTTTTCGTAGAACCAAGACTCGCGGTCTCGGTTATACTTCTCATCTAGGCGGTCATCTCCGGGACCTAGGGCATGCTTCGATGGACGCTTCTCTGCAGGCCTTTCAAGGTGAAGGAAGCCGAGGAGGGGGAGAAAGTCGAGGATTTGGATGGCGCGCGTGGCTCGAGCATTGGTGGCGGGCACCTTGGTAGACCGACCGGGAGCCGTGTGGGTGGTGTAGAGCCGGGACTTCCAGCGGGCGAATTGCGTCGTATAGATGCGATAGTCTTCAGGGGTGTAGCAACGCTCGACCGTGTAGTGGTGTTTGGGCGGCATCGATTGTCCAATGGTGTTGGAGGAACCGGCCGGGAGCGCAGAGTCAAAGTTGCGCCCGAGGACAAATGTCTCCAAGACAGGTTGCGCCATTTTGCCTTGCCGCATGCGTCGATCAAAAGAGACGTTGGACGTGGGCGTGATCCATTTCCTCCAGACATCGACCAGATAGGTGAACTTGAAACTACCAAGCGTTAGCGAAAAAGACGAAGAAGGGTAAGGGGGTACAGTAGAAAGTTTCCGGGCTACCTCCCTGGGGGAGCTTGCCGGTGGAAAGGGGGTACGTACTACGGGCTGTCGGGAGGCAAGAGGTAAGGGTTGGTTTCATCCGGGTCCCATGGGCGTTCATGCGCGCGCAGCTGAACCATCTCGCGGCAAAATTGCTTATACTCTTTGCGCAACGATGGACGTTCCAGTAATGCAAGATAGGAGCCGTAGTCTTCCATTCCGCGAGGAGCCGGGTATCCTGACATCAGGAACAGAAACTTAGCGCTCAACCATCGTACCGTTCGCCAGTAAGACGACTGGTTACGCAAGCCATCCTGGCATTCGTCGGCGAACACGAAGCCAAATTTGCCAGCGAGCGAAGAAATGCGCGGAGGAGATTCGTCCTCAAGAAACTCGGGCAGGTTCAAGGGGTTTTCTTGGTGGGCATGCGTGTCGAAACCTTGGAAGGAAATGTCTTTGTCGTCGCAGTACGCCTCCCAGTCGCGAGATACCGCACGCCAGTATGCCTGAGGACCATAGTACTTAGCGAGATAGTTGTAAGAGACCACGTACACGCGGCGAAGGTTAGCCGGATTCTCCTCGTCCCATACCGGACTAGAATCGTCGGGGAAGGTGGCCTCCACCCGGTAACCATGTGCGAGAACAACATTACCACCAACGTGAACAACGCGGAACTTGTTGCTAAATTTGCTTAAGTCTGTGGCAGCTTGGTGACAGAGAGACGAATTGGTGATGTAGAGCGTAGGTCGACACTTTTCGCCAGGGCGCTCGGGGCACTGCGGACGCGTGACGGGAGGGAGCACTCGGTTCAACTTTTGCATGGCGGTCGAAGAAATCACTTCGTGCAACGAAGCAACCTAGCACAGTTAGTAACGTCCTAGAGGAGAGGGAAGGCAGGAGCGAAAAGGCGCAGGGGGGTACGTCGAAAACTTCTCTACGTACCCCCCTGGGAGAGATCTGTGGCCCACTTAGTGGCGATGATCTGCCACCAGCGCAAGGCAACATTGGTGTCCGGTATCAACTTCTCGTAAATATTGATGATGCTTGCTTCGATGCACGCTTCCCTCAGGTAATCTGGATTGAACTTCTTGCTGATCCGTGCATTTTGAAATAAATCGGCGCTCGGGTCTGGTTGTTCTTCCTTGGGGATCTCGACCATGTCCGGCAGTTCCTCACCTTTGGTTGGTGTCGTACCGGTAGCTCGCTGCCGGATGCCGGTTGCCTCCTCGCGTGCCATGGTGTTCAGGATGTCGTTGCCCGCAATGCCCTCTTGCTCGACTTCTCGGCTTATCAGCATGGCGGTTTGCTTGCTCAAAGCATGCATTGCCTTCAGAGCCTTGAGAATCGGATTTTTCCTCTTGTTGCACTTAGGGACAGTGCGGATCTGTTCTAGGTGGTAAAGTGCAACTCGATGAAGAATAGCCATGTCTCGGACGTAGGCGTTGTGCACCAGAGGGCGGGCTTTCAGGTCACGGACAAGATCTTTAAGGTTGCGTGCAGCGCGCGCAATGCGGGCTCGGTAGGCTGGGTCGCGGGCCTGCTTGGCCTGCACCTTCTCCATCTCCGCCACGTAGGATGCAACGATCTCTTCATCGGTCAGCTCGCTGGGGTTCGCCGGGGTAGTGGCGGGAGCTTCGTCCAGTTCGTCTTCGAGGGCGAGGTCGTCTTCCTCGTCGCTTACCGTGATGACGCTGTGCACAGTCTTGGCGGCCTTGGTGCGTCGAGTCTGTCTGGTGTGGTCGCGGTTGAGGGCCTTGATGCTTCGTAAGGCAGCCTGCTTGGCAGCCTCTGCGTCGACCTTGTACGTTGCGTTTTCGAGCCTCTGTTGCATCGTTTGTATAATATGGCGCTCTGTTGCCTTGCGTTTCTCTGCATCTTTCTGCATCTTGATCTCGGCCAGCCTCTTCGGTTTCAACTCGCTGGCGATGATCTTGGAGATGATCCACAGGCACGCGTCCGTGGTAGTATCGCCCTTGATCTTGGCCTGGTCGAAAACGCTGTTGTCAGGAGTGACGAAGACCAGCTTGAGAGCACAGAGGAACCGTGCCCAGTGCAGCTCCGGCGCCCAGTTCTTCATATGCTCCTCGGGCTCCGTGACGAGCACACCGGTGTCATGCTTCGCCATGATGCTCCTCACCGCAGACAGACTGCAGGACCGAACACCCATCGCGACATGCTCCAACAGCAGCTTGTTGGCGTGCTCGATGCGCTGGTTTTCCAGAATGAGATCTTGAAATGCGTTGTAAGGTAACTTGAGCACTTGGGTAACGAATTTTCGTCGGTTACCGATCCAGTCGCCGAATTTTACATCGCCGAGGGTGGAGTTCTCGATGTTGGCCGTGAACAGAGATTCGCCCTCGCAGCCAGCGGCGTCGTGGGTTAAATCCTCATCGCGGAGACCTTCCACATGTTGTAGGGCTGTGTCCAACTCCAGGGAGAACTCTTCCATGTCCACTGGGGCCTCATCGTCGCTCTCTTCGTTCGAATCGGGTGTCCTGAGGGGGGGGGGTACTTAGAAAACTTTCTCTGGTCACCTCTTTGGGGAGGGAGGAGGGGGGGGAGCTTACTTCTCGCGTCGGCGTTTCTGACTTTTTGAGGGCTGTATACCTGCCTTGGCCGCTTCTGGCCCTTCCTTGTGTGGCTCTTCCTGTGGCGTCGCTGATGCACCGCCAACATCCACCAATGCAATCGCCTCGGCCAATGCATCGTCGGTTGCGCTTGTTATCGGCACGTCGTCGGTAGGCTGGGTGATGTCGGCATCGGGACGGTCAATCATGGGCGTGTCACCGTCATTTTCCTCGGTGGACGGCGCCTTCTGCGTGGTGGGCTCTGGCGCCGCGGCTGTATTGCTCATCTCGAGCGTTGGCCGTGGAGCCCTTAAGAAGCGTGATGCTGCGGCTTTGCGTGTGTACTAACTATAGTTAGTCAACGTTGCATGCGCAGAGCCACTAAGAACCCCAGGAGGGCGTAGGGGGACGGGGGTGTATGGCTAGGGGGTACCCGGGAAACTGTTGCGATCCTGGGTGGGCTGCCTAATGAGGACTAGACCAGCCAAATCGTGGTGCCTTGGTGTTTTGGACCAGTATCTCGCGAATCGTCGGCTTGATGTGAGTGCAAACTGCTGCCAACTTCGTAATTAGCTGCCAAATGATAAAACTTGGGTTTTTCGACATGGGAACTTACTTTCTGGAGCAGCGCAGGCGAAATAGACGGCGTTGTGGTAGTAGGGCACGTCGCGTAGGTAGAGTGGGGTGGATTGGAGTGGGTTAGATCAGAAGTTCGGTAAAACTAGCCTTATGGTGGGGCGGGTCCGTGCCGCTAGCGTCTCGCTTAGCGCTTGGCAGAAGTTTACACGGTACCCTCCCTACCCCTCTCATCTCTTTAGGTATCTTGCTCCTTCTCGTGTATCTTGCTCCTTCTCGTGTATCTTGCTCCTGCTCGTGTATCTTGCTCCTGCTCGTGTATCTTGCTCCTGCTCGTGTATCTTGCTCCTGCTCGTGTATCTTGCTCCTTTGTTTTGTTTTTCTATCTCTTTTTTTCCCTTTCTTTCCCGTCTCCTTGACTTCTCCCACCTACATCGTGTACTTCAGCATCTCTCTTCTTCTCTCCCTATCCCCTCTCCCACCACCTATTTCCTTTCCTCTCTACCACCCCTTTGTCGACCTCACCTCTGCTAGGGGGGTTATCTCAATAAGTTTCTCATCTACCCCCTTTGCTCCCTTTCCCTCCCTCCTCCTCTTCCTTGTCCTATCTTTCTTCCCTCCTTTCCTTTTACCCTTTCACTTAGTTTCTCTATAAAGGGTCTTGAAACGAAAACTATGCTTTCTTGATCCTCTACTATTCTACTTCTCTCCTACAATACAGATTTAGAACCACGGTTTACTCCCTTTTTGTCGTCGCTGGCTACGCTGCCCTTCTCCTTTCCGATCTCCTACGCTGGCTGACCTATCCCTCCTTTCTCTCTCCTCTCTTTTTTTTGAATTCCTCTTTCCTTTTCGTGCTAGGCTGAAGAGAGCGTCCCCATGGCTTCTGCTATTGTGGTTCTTTCTTCCCCCTCTATCAGCTTTCTCCACCTCTCCTCCATAGGTAGAAAATATTCTTGCGTTAGCCAATTTACATCGAGTACAATCCGATTTACATACCCGAGTGGCCTTGGGAATACCTGGCCGCCTCGGAAATAGTTGGCAAAATCTTCGTTATTGTCCAGATTACAGTTCGCATCGCTAGCCAAGATCCGCTCTACCCATCTCTTCCTCATTCCTGGACAGGCCGCCCATAACACCGCCCATGCATCCGCAATCACGTGCGGGTAGGTACACGGTTCACGAGAGTCTGGATAGTTTCGAATCAAACCATTACCGTCGATCCATCTCCCACATTGGCTCTGGGGAAAGAGACAACTAAAGCAGAAGCCGCTGCCCATGCGTTTCTTCATCTTCTCGAAACGGAAGTGCTTGACGAGAGGCGACGTATACTCACATCCTTCAGCCGTATCCTTAGGGTGGTCGAAGGCTTGCTGAGCCACAAAACAGGATACGCAATGCTCTCTCCAATATGCCCCCGTCTGTTGGAGTTCGGACGCCAACATAACACTCTCTTGCCCGGCACGAGCGGCTTTCCCACTTATGTACTCTAGGGTGCGTTCGGTCCGTGCTGTTTTGGCGGCTCGCTGTGCACTACTCGAACTTGGGGTTGGAGAGATTTCCGAAATGGATACTGTGTCTTAGTTACCAAAAGGGTTTGACATTTTCTATCCACGTAGCTGGACCTACCCTGATCTCTGTGGCGTTTCATAGGGCTACCGCGACGTTCCAAGGCGGCTCGAAGCACAGCCCACGCTCCGTCTTCTTCGTCTACACGCTCCACCGCACTCGTCTTCAGCGTCTGGGGCTGCCACACGGGCGGGGACGACAACTCATACACGGCGGGAGAAGAAGACAGGATTTTGCCGCTTCCTTGGGCCCGCGGATTGGAGTGCGGGCTGCGACTCATCAGGATCGGTGGCTCCGTCCGCACAGGGGTGGACTGAGGTTCGGGACGGAGAGGCGCCTTTCCCTTAGTTGACGTAGTCGCCTGACGAGCTTCCGCACGCGCCGCGCAAACTTGACAGGGCTCCTCGTCTTGGTGGCAGCCTTGACGAGAAGTAGGCCCGTCAAGATAGGCGTCGATGGCGATACGCATGCATGTTTGCTTAGCCTCCACGCTTCGCAACATAATGGCGTTTAGTACGTCTTGTTCGGGACGGCCCAATTTATGGAAGAAGGACTTTAGTTTATCGCCTAGAAGAATCCGCACGACGCACCGCTTTCCATCTCGTCCTCCCCGGCCAGCTTCCTGGCTCCAGGTGATGGGGTGATCTGGCTCTCCCAACCGAATGACGCCTCGGATGTCTGGCACGTTCACCCCCGCATTGAAGGCCGTCGTCGCGACCATGATACCTGACTTGGAAGCGAGAAAGCCGCGCTGGTTCTTACGCCTCTCTTCTTCCTGCATCTGGCCTTCGTACTGGAAGCACTTTAGCTCGCGGGCGAGCCATTGCACGGTGCTTCAGAAGGGAACATATACGAGTAGTTTCCCTAGCAACTTAGCTTGTTTAGATAGATATTTAACCATAGCCTCGCTGTCGGCCTCTATATGGTTCCCTACCGTGTGCACCTCGTAGACAAGATTCGAGCGCGACGTACTTTGACGAAAGACGGTAACTTGCCCGTCGACACCAAAGAGTTGATACGCCTGTTGCTCTTCGGCAAAAGGAATCGTAGCCGAAAGAAGGGTAAGGGGTACTTGGTAGCGTGCTAGCTCGCGAATTTGCAGGAGTGCTGGGCGGTACTCGTGGTCGGGAAGCAAGACGTAGTGAAACTCATCCACCACAATCCGCTCTAACTGCCCTACATCCCGTAGCCGTAAAATAGTATCGAGAAAGCGGCTATCGCGGAGGTGCTCGGGCATAGCTAGAATTAGGCGAGACGTCTCGTTAAAGAGGGTGTCGCCCCATACGCTACAAGAGATGTAAAGGTTCTGACAATGCTCCTGGATATCCTCCCGCAGCGCTACGAGTGGGGTAATGACAATGGCCTGGCCATAACCCTTACAACACGCTGGAAGGAGAAAAGCTAGACTCTTGCCAGAGCCCGTACCTGCAATGTAAGACACCACGGGCGTGCATGCAAGGATAGCATTCACGACTTCTTGTTGCCGCCCGCGAAACATGGTTTTCTGTCCAAGATTCGTCTGGAGAAGCGCGTTCACGTCTACCCTGCCTCGCTTAGCCTCCCGCTCTCTCATGCGCGAAACAGCGTTCGAAGAAAGCGCTTTTGAGTCTGACCTTGCGGCTCTTATACTGCTATATCCGAGATCGCCATGCCAACGTATTGAGACCCTAAGGTGCGCCTGGGGCGCAGCGTACCGCATCCGAAATACGGATGCTACTGTTAGCCCGTACACAGCAATAGCCGTGTTTGGGCTATAGCCTGCCTGTAGCTCGCGGTATTCGCTATGCTCGTCGTCTAGCGCCTCCTCTGTCTCGTCTTCCGTAAGAAAGTAGATGCCACTCTCAGTGCCTCTACCTCGCGCCTCGTCTAGCTTCCGACCAAACGCGATAATTAGGTGACGCATGAGTCGCGGCTTAATAACTTGTCCCATATATAACTGCGTTGCCGTCTAGAGCGCCTAGGCTTGTATGCGGGCATGACTACATTGTCGCCCCTTTCTGTCCGGCCATAGTAGTGGACTTCTTACCTGATAGTAATAGGCATCCTTCTCCACCATGCCTGGCTGCTCGGTAATCACCTGCCAAAATGGGCGGACAAGACTGCAGTACCATACAAGAAGCGCGCCTACTAGCTCGGGTAGGTACCGGTAAATAATCTTAAGCGACTTATCCCGGTTATACCCTTTATGGTATCGTAGCACCATCGCGATATGGCCCTCAAACATAAAAAAGTTACGCGGGCCGTCCTGAACAGTATTCTTAATCTAGGCGGTAAGAAGTTCCGTCATACGAGGTGGCTGTCCACTTGTAAAGTAAACCAAAAGATACAATACCTCTAGAAACTGCTGTATAAGCTTACTATACTGTAGAATCCGGTGATATTGGCCAAGCTTAAACGTGGATTTAGTATATCTCTTGCCCCTAATAGCAGTAGCCATCTAGTGTAGTACAAAGTTTTTCTGCACGTCGATGCGTTCTTCCAGCGTACTAAATAGGGAATAGCCCGGGTCCTGTCGACTAGGATCACAGTCTAACTCCTGCCAACGTACTCGAGGAAGACTAGCTAGCGTTTCCGTAAACGTAAGTTGTTGTAGAAGATCTTCTACCTTCCGTTGTAAGGACCATACAGCATTCCGGAAGTGTTCAAAGGTAGTTGATACCTCCTTCACGGTAACAGTAGATCCGCTCCAGCGAACAAAAGCATCCACCGTCTCGCCATAGCGGATTCGACTAATATACTGCGCGGAACTAATTACCCACGCCATAGGTGTGTGGTACGTAGTCCCAAGATAATGATAGATCCATTCGCGAAACGCTTCATTGTAAGACCGAGCGTTATCTTCGCTAGATAGATCTTTGCTCTGCTTTTCGTACTCATCCTGCTCGTAAATAAGACGCGCGACCTCTGCCTCATTCACGTCAGGCTCACCTTCCACGGACTCCTCTTTCTCCTCCTCCCCTAGCGGCTTGGCATTCGCCTCTACCTTTGCGTTCGGCGTGGTGTCCCACAGCTTCTGGCACGCTGCGAAGCGTGCAAATTTCTTAATCGCGCTTAGATCGGTAGCGAATAGGTACGCGGGGCGGAACCCGTTGATCTTACTATTAACAGCAAGAAAGGCGAGCGGGGTAATAAGCACTAGTTCAAAGTCTCCTATTACGGCAGTCTGCTTAAGTAACGATAACCAAAACGTGTGACACAATCGCTCAAATGGTTCGAGCGTAGTCCGACGATGCGTAAGCGAGATAGATGGTAGTGGTAAGGGTAGAGACTGTAGATGTTCTTGAATCGCATCCCACGCCTTCTGCTGCGTCGGACTAAACACGGGAAGCGTAGACGGGGTAGTACGTCCCCGAATGAAAACGTGGTAGAAAAATAGAAACACTTTTGCGATTATATAGGTGTGGTGCAAGTTAAAGGCCTGGTAATGGATAAGAGGCGAGGTAGGTACATCCTGCGTGTTCTCTTGCATGACCTGGATCCGCGCCCAACGTGAGGTAGAAGCAACGACACATTGATACACGAGTCCCATGCTCGCTACTGTTTGAGATAGATATTGAGCTTTCGCGTCGCCGTCGGGCCGTGTGTACTGTCGAGCCTCCTCCCAGGATAGACCCTCTACACACTGTTGGAACTTAGTGTGCTTAAGATACGGATTGGTTTGTCGCTCAGGAGCAGGAGCTATCTTAGCAGCCTCTGCCGCGCGCTGCTCTTCTCGGGCCTGGGCTGCAGCTCTATACTCGGCGAACAACTGGTCGACGATAGCGCTAGTAGTGCTGGCGTCGGCTAAGGTCGACTTGTCCTTTTCGTCGGCACTGTCTTCGCTCGAGACAGGCAAGAGCTTTGTACGGCTTCCTTGGGGAGGAGAGTGGGCCAACGTGGGAGTAGGTGCGTCTCGCGCTACCTGGACCTTAAAGTGCTGCAAACACTCAGACGGATAGTCCCCAGGAATGCGAGAAAAGAATTGTTGGGTGGTAATAACGTTCTAGTGCGAAGCCTACTAAGTGCGACGCTCAGCAATAGCTAAGTCTGAGGGCGGATAGACTTTGTGTGCGCCTCGAAGATGCTGTTTTATATTCTCTTCCGCAGAGGTGCTACTATAAATACGAAAGCATTCCTTGCATTGGAGGGACCCAGCGTGCACACTTAGACCCTTAATAGCAGGAATAATCGCCTTAGGTACTATAACCTCTTTATAGGTTGCATGATACTCGTGTGCGCATTCCTCTACTTCCTTGTCGATAGACTCTCGAACACGAGGCGATACATACTTAGGATGACATTTCTGAAGGTGGCGGACAATGCTCGACGGAAGAACAGCATATTGATGAGCCTTACAAATAAGCAGACCATGGCCTGGTTTGGGGTAGCAATAGAAATAAGACTGGAGAGACATGGTCGGTGTGCAGCAATAAGGGTGAAGGGGGGTTGAGAAGAAGAGGCGATTGAGCTGGTAGATTGGACAGAATGGATTACCTGTTCTATCCACCTCAATTTATACATGTATAGGAGACCTACAAAAGTAAGGAGATAGAGTTTAGCTGCATAACTGAATAGTAGGAAGAACCTAGGAAGAGGTAAGAAGTCGATCGATAGGCCTACTTCTTAACAAAACCTATATTAGGCCAGTAGTACTATGGCGATATAGGAACCCAAGGGCGCATGCGATGTGAATCGGAAAGTAAGCTCTACATCAGCCCAATGATAGGATCATAGGGCCAGGGTTCGCGATAAGCGGAAGTAGATATAGTGGCGTGAGAATCAGCTAAACAGTGTTAAATAAAAGGAAAAAAAGGCCGCGTGGCAAGAACGCGTGGCCGCCGCAAGTTCGTGATCAGCGGGTCAGGAGGCGTACGATGTAAATCGGAAACGAAGACTCAAATTAAGAAGAAGTTTGCTGACAGCAATAGGGGTAGGGGGGAGGGTATATGATTTTAGTCCGCGTTTTAGACCGAGATCGCCATAGACTACTTAGGTTAAATGCGTGTTCTTCTTAACTACGACCCTTCTATCTAACTGCTCTACACTCTGCCGCTTAGAAGAACTTATCCTTAACCACTATGCCAAACCTACCTAAGCTCGGCATACGGTCAGAACAATGGCCTATAGAATACGGTGCTAGGACCATCGCCTCAGTCACAGAGGAGCTACTAGACACTACTTCTGCTGCCTTTCTCCGAACAGCAGAAGAAGACCAATATAGCTAGGCATTTGTAGCCAAAACACCAGAACATGCCTTGCACTGGATCTGTAAGCACGCCTCAAAAACAAGTGTAGTAAAGGCTGTCACGTTCTATTTCGACCATCCGCATCTAGGGCCAGAAACAGAACAAGAAGAGGAAGAGGAAGAAGGGCACGGGGGCGAGGACGAGAATAAGAACGAGCTACACAACTTTAGACACTCACTAGCACCTAGATCGAGTCCCATGGCAGAAACGAGCCGGAAAAGAAAGTGAGAAACCACGACAATGCAAGCTAGTCGTGCGCTTATAGATAAGATGAACCTTAACTTAGTTCGCACTATTGCGAGTACACAGGATTGGGAAGAGGCGAAGAGAGGGCGAATCCCTACGAATGAAGAGCAGAGATACCGCTCCTATATAACAAGTCTACCAAAAATCGGCATAAGTCTTGCGGCCCACATGATGAGGTAAGCTGAAGTAGTGGGAAGCTTTGAGGTGTTTAAGGACTGGGCTGCCGTACTCGCCGTCTGGAAGCGACAGTTCCGTCATGGGCGTGGCCTACAGGACAACGTATTTGTATCTACGGGCAGAATCCTAGTAACGCCGCAGCCAAGCATGCCAGATACTACATCTATTCCCTCTTCTTCAGCTGGGCTAGATGACAACGAAACGCTCAAGTTCCGCGCCCAATACTTTGAACTAGAGAAGCTCGAAGCGGATAGTATTGCGGGAAGGATGATAAAGCGGTATAAGCTAGACCAGTTCTACGAGCAGTTTGAGACTTTAGACGCCAAGATTCGTTTACAGAGGCAAGGCACAGGTCGACGAGGGGTGCGTTACGATTCCGTAGCAAAGGAAGTCCTGTTTGCTACCACATACATGCAAGAATTAGGGCGAGAGCCCTTACGAGAAACCGACCGGGAGCTATGGCAGAAGTTTGGCGAGAAACTAGATAAAGGAAAGAGGTGGAATATGATCAAACGTCGAATTGGAAGTATCGGCATCTTTGGTTTGCTTCCGAATAGCTCCGACCCTGACACGTTTATTGAGCAACGCTTAACCCAAGCGCGGGTGGGCCAATGGATTGAGATGGTGGCCGCATGTAACGAGGATGCTAGGGCGATGGCTACGAGGATGGAACCGCTGTATATGGCATGTGTTCAAGGTCATCCTCCACCGGATGAATTTAGCTTCCTAGAGCAGGTCGACAACGTGAACCAATCGGTGAAGCCGCTAGTGTTTCTTACTCGGTACGTAGGGTTCTAGCGATCGCAAAAGTGGAAACTAACTACATTAGGGCAAATATAGAAGAGGTGCAAGATATAGAGGAATTGGAGTATGGGTCTATTGAAGGCGAGGACGTGATTGAATAGGGTAATAGGGGGTACGTGAGAAACTATTTTATATTAGTAATATACACCGATTGTATATAAATATATATAGTGATAGGGGAAGAAGGCTAGTAGGCGTAAGGGGGTAGGAGAGAAACTTCTCTAGGTACCCCCCCTCTGGTACCCTTCTGCTCATTCTATTATCGCGTACTGGATAGAGAGTCTTGTGATCTTGGCATAAAAACCAATCTCAAATAGTTATACATAGGAGGCCGCTAGAGCCTTATCGTCTTAACTAAGTTAACCATAATAGCTAGGGCAAGAGTCAATACCCAGGGCAATATCGCCTATATAAGGTAGTTCCTAATACCTAAGGTATAGTATAGATAAAAGGTAGTATCTAAGAGTTAATACCCAGAGTAAGAGTCAATACCCAGGACTTACCTAATTAGGAAGGTATTAATCACTTAGAAACTCTTTTACTACTATCTATCCAATACCCAGAGCTTGCCTAATTAGGACTAGTCAATGCCAAGACCCAATACTCAGGGCATTAAGCACGGGCCTTAAGTCAATATCCACTGACAATTGTGAATCCTAATATCCTTAGGCAGCCTAGAACCACGAGTGCGGTGACACGTGCGACAGGTGTAGCGTTGAGGGTCGACAGCCGCGACCAGAACGCGAGAGTGGAGCGGAGGTGATGGTACACTACGGCACGATCGCGTCTGGCAATCAGGTGATGAAGGATGCTGCCGAGAGACACAGGGTCAGCGCGGAGCTTGGTGGGGTATTATGCTTTGAGATGGAGGCGGCGGGGCTAATGAATAGCTTCCCATGCCTTGTTATTCGTGGCATCTCCGACTACGCCGACTCTTACAGAGTACCATATAAGGATAACCTCAAGGTAGTTAGGCTGCTGCTTAGCTAGGAAGTAGGCGCAAGCGCAGCAAACAGCAATAGCGCGCAACACCTGTGCGCTAGGAAATACAAATAGGCCATCTTAAGGTAGTTAAGCTGCTGCTCAATCATGACCGGACTTTACAATAGCTAAATGTATGGGACTCACGCCCTTGATGTCAGCCGCAAGTAGTGGCCACTTAGAAATAGTCAAGTTGCTACTCACTGCGAACCGACTTACGTCGTAGCGTTTGGCCTACGCATTGTAGGTGTCTTAAGCGATAATCTAGGCGGCGCTTGTGCGGTTCACTGCGCTCAAAAGAGTATACTAGTTAAACAGCAAGGCTGATTTAGTTACAAAATAGATAGTTACAAGACCAACACATGAACAGTTGATACAGGGTTCCACGTTCTACGACTTGACTCCATCTAAGCATTTATTTGCTCCGTAGCCTGACATCGTATCGTTCCTGTGCAACAACCATGTCTATTACAAAAACCCTGGAAAACACGTTCTCTTCCCCCTCCTCGGAAATGTTAGGAAACAAACAAGATAAAGACTATTACTAAGAGAAGCAAGTAGCTAGTAATCTCTTGTTCTTTTTTTTCGTCCTTTTCTCGTTTTCGTTTCTCACTTTCGTTTCTCGTTTAACCCGCCATCGCTAAAGAGTTTAAAGACACAAAGGAAAGGGAAATCTGGACAAAGTAAGCGGATCGTCCATGTTCTGCGACAGCTCTGCTATCGTTGCAGCGAGTATGTCAAGTATAGAGTGTGCCGCCTCGGCTGTCAGGATGTGCGTGTTGCCAGCGACTGTAAGCTTCAGCTGATCGGCTTGTGGGAGCGAGAAGAAGTACAGCTGCCGCGCTATCCAGAAAGGGTTGTCGAACCATTGAACCTTTGTCTTTGCTCCCGCAAAGCAGACGCCAGGGTGCTCGTCGATGTTCTGATGCTGCACTACCGAGTCAAACTCCGACCCAGCAGGCCAGTCTGTGCATTCGCGGACGATCTCGTCTAGCTGTGCCGAGTCCGCCTGTCCAAGCGATGCATGCTGCTCGTGGACGTAGCGGATGAGATCTGCCGGTGTCTTTGCTGGCTGTATGCGGACCCTGACTGGCACAACGTTCAAGCAAGGTCCAACGATCTCAGTGATACCTGGGATGTCGGAGTTGCGGCCGGCAACTGTGTGTCCGTAGACGACATCTTCTTCGCCCGTGATGCTCGAGAGGACCAGCGCCCAAGCCGAGCTGAGCAGTGAGGCCATGGTGACGTTGTGGGGAAGTCGAGGAGTGCGGATTACCCTTTCAACCTTGATGTTGTCAAGGGCAGGCAGCCCACCTGCCTTTGGGCGAAGGCGCACAGTCGCCCTGGTCATGCGCGAGCCTTTCAAAAGTTCTCGCCAGTAGCGCGCCGACGCTTCGCGCTGAGTACGGGTGTGCGCTAGATAGGTTGAGAAGCTCGGAGTGATGGGCGGAGTCTCTTGTGCGTACAGCGCGGCCAGGGTCCTGAGGATGACGGGAGCGCACACACCGTCGTACTGAGCATGCGAAAGACGAACGATCAGGCGATGACCGACCGACTTGTCTCGCAACAGCGTGAACGAAGTCGGAAGCGCGAGTGGATTAGTCTTCTGGATGTCTTCTAGACAGATCCTGCGCGTGGCCTCAGACAGGGATCCGTTGACTTCGAACGTGGTAAAATGTAGTTGAGGGCGTAGCAGAATAACCTGCCAAAGCTGCTCGTGAAAGGAGACGAACTGCGAGCGGAGGATTGGAAAGTGGTCGACAAGTATACGACAGCTGTCGTGGAGTAGCTGTGCATCCAGCTGCGGTCCGATATCGAGAAAAAAGTAGTTGAAAGCTTCACGGGGCGACTCGATACCCCAATTGACAAAGAGGCGCTGCACGTGGGTGGTGGGCAAGATGTCGGCCACGTGTTGCTGCTGAATAGAGCTCTCTAGAAGGACGTTTTGGGAGAGAATACTATCCTTGATGGTGAGTGGGAGAAGGGAGAACGGTAGAACTGGCTGTGGTGAGCTGTCGGGGGAGGCTAGACCGGCCAGAGATATCTGAGCAAGCGTGGGATGGCGGAAGAGGTCGGCGACGGTCAGCTGCACGCCGTGCCTGCGCGCCTCGCCCACCAGCTTCATCGCCGCGATCGAGTCGCCGCCCAGGCGGAAGAAGCTGTCGTCCAGCCCGATGCTGTCCGCGGCGACGCCCAGTACCCCCGCCCACAGCTGCTGCATCGTCCGCTCCGCTTCCGTCGTCGGCGCTCGCTTGGCGCCCTCGCTCGCCGTCCGCAGCTCTGCTAGCTGCTGCGCCGAGAACGACGCCCCGATCTCGCGCAGCCGCTTCCTGTCCGTCTTACCAGACACTGTCATCGGCAGCTGCCCGACAGCAAGGTATACGCTTGGCACCATGTGTCCAGGCAGCCTTTTGAGCATCTGCTCCTCCACCTCTCGCGGAAACACTACCCGTACCAGCATCTCGGGCTCGCCTGGCTCGCTAGCTACTGGCGCGTCTTGCGCTCCGTCATCTTCCTCACTTTTGTCGTCCAGCTGCAGGAAGGCCGCCAGCGCTGCATTCTCTTTCTCGCCTCCTGGAGTGATCACTTCTACCGCCAGCTGCTGCGTTTCCGCCATGAACTCCCGCAGGTGATGCTCCACCTCGCCTAACTCCACCCGCTGCCCGCGCACCTTAACCTGGCTGTCCTTGCGGCCCACGTAGACAAGGTTGCCGTTAGGGTCGTAGCGGACAAGGTCGCCCGTCTTATACAGCCTACCGCGTCGCCCAGGGTAGCCTCCTCTATCCTCTAATAGCCAGGCAGGATCATTGATAAAAGCTGACTGCGTCTTCTCAGCGTCGTTGAGATAGCCGCGCGCAAGGATAGGACCCTCTACTAGTAGCTCTCCGACTAAGCCTAGCGGGACAAGCTGATTGTAGTCCTCAGGGTCCACCACCCAGCATACCGAACCAACTGGTTTTCCAATTATTCCTGACTTGAATGGTTGAGCATCTGTGTACACCGTACAGCAGATGCAGCATTCTGTAGGTCCATATGCGTCTATTACTTGAACATAGCCAGCCCATCTCTGCCAATCTGCCAGAGTAACATGTTCGCCAGCTAGTATTACTACGTCAAGACAAGAAACCTCAGTTGGCTCGAGGAGCCTTGCGACAGACGGTGTAAGCACTGCCCAGTTAACATTCATAGCACTCACAACCTGGGACAGACTACCGTGTCTATCGGCCTCAGAAGGCACGCACACACAGCCACTAAATAGTAGTGTTGTTATAATCTCAGCAATGCAAGCATCGAACGTGTAGGAAGCGAACTGGAGAGCTCGCGTGCGCTGTGTAAGGCCAAATCTCTTTCCCTCGCGGCAGCAAGTCGCGAGTGCTCGGTGTTCTATAACAACGCCCTTAGGCATTCCAGTACTTCCAGACGTGAATATCACGTACGCCGCATTGCTTGGAGTAGTCGCTGCTGCAGAGCTGATGCTGGGTTCGTCGTTCAAGAGAGTGATAGACGCTGCGCTTACGGTGACTATAGCAAGTTCTGAGTGCTGCCAGAGTGCTTCGTAATGCGCTGACGTGAGCAGCACGCTGGCCTTAGTCTGGCTAAGAATCTCATCGTGTCGGCTGCGTGGATGGGCGGGATCCAGCGGCACGAAGGCGCCGCCGGCCTTGAGCACGGCCAGCATGGCCACCACTGTCCACATCGACTTCTCGAAGCACAGCGGCACCATGTCTTCAGGCTTGACGCCGATCTGGACAAGGTGACCCGC